ACGCAGTCGACTATTTGGGTTTATGGCAAGCTGGTTTTACTCACGATGTTTTCCTTCACCGTTCGAGCGAATGTTAAATGCGCACATAGAAAGTCCATTGGTGCACAGCCGGGATCGAACCGGCGAATCAGGGATGAAAGTTGCAAAGTGAAGAAAGCCAACATTGCTCAACTCTATTAAGTACATATATCCTTGAAATATATCTTTGAATGATTGTGGAATATAAAAAGAATCTAACGAATTTAATTTCAATCGAAATTACTCCTACACTTCTTTTGATGAAAATAACCAACGGTGCGATTCGATTATTGGGCCCAGGTTGGCAAAATATATTTACGTCAATGACATAAAATATAATAATCTTTAATAACATTTTCTTCGGAGACATATTGGATTGGACGACGTATATGTGAAATGGCGTGTGAATTATAAACGTATTTCTCATGTTTTTCCAATATCTTCATTGTATAGCAAGATGTGAGGAAATATTTTAAGGAAAAACTTTGACTTTATTTAGCAGTAATAACAATTTATTAAATACTAATTAGTCGTTATATTAGGAAAACGAATGAAAGACAATGGAGAAATTCGTTGTTTGTCTTCGATATTGGTTAAAAAGCTTACAGCCTATTTTTAACGAGAATTACGAGTCTAAATGACACAGATGCAAATAATTTATGCAATTATTGTAATTATAGGCTCACACACTTTAGTATCAGAGTTCCTCGGCTATGCCCGAGGTATAATCATCACTAAATTTGTCGTTTTTTAAATATTTTATTTTTTTTTTTTAACTATTAATGTTATGTTAATGTTTATGTTTTCTGTTTCATATATTTTGTTTAGAATTTAGTAAAATTTCTTTGAATATCCCTGTAATTTAGAATACAAACTTAAACCAAATCAGACTTTTTAAAGTACAACATGTTTTCCTAAGATTTATTTTATACTAAAAGTAGCAAAAAGCTTTTTTATCACGTATGCAAACCAGGAATCTCCAATGCCGTCGACTGTTTGGATCTAAGACATGTCGGTTTCCTCACGATGTTTTCCTTCACCGTTTGAGCGAATGTTAAATGCGCACATAGAAACTCCATTGGTGCACAGCCGGGGTTCGAACCTACGACCTCAGGGATGAGAGTCGCGCGCTGAAGCCACTCGACCAACTCTACTCTATTTTGTTTATTAAGTCTACCATGTATTTGAGAGTTGATTGCGGGCACGTGGAAAAATTATTAAACTTTTTTACGAATATGTTGCCGTATGGGAAAAGTTATTAGACAATTAAAATCGCATGTATGTAGTCGGAAATCTCGGACACTCGGTTACGGCTTGTTGCAGGGTATAGTCATGGGCAAAATTTAAGGCGAGAGACGGGCTGGTAGGAGGAAGAAGTCGTGGCTGCGGAACGAACGGTCGACCGGCAACACATCTGCCGAGGAACTTAGACTAGCGGACGATACCCGCCAATTCAAATTGTGAACAGCCAAAAAAGTGGCACCAGAAGAAGTAGAAATAAACAATGTAGGCATTCTATAACGGAATTGTGTTAAATATATTTCTTCTTAACAGACATTTACACACAATTACCATGCGACGCAGCTATGCAATAATAAAGCACGTAGCGGGATCACGTAGCTACATACTACGCCGTAGCTGCTACGCATAAAACTTTCCGTTTTATAACAAATTATGATAAAAGCTTTAACCCAGTTTAAATTAATCTAAAGTCCTCAATGAGTAATAAAACGTCAGCCTTATCATAATAACGCTCAGTTTGAAAACATTTTACGCATACGAAAAGACGATGTTTGGTTTTAATTATTGTTAAACGAACGAGATTTAATATTTGATGACTGTATTTAAATTAATGTCAGGCGAGTTGTAGATCGCAGTCTTGTCTGTTCAAATTTAACTGTGAATATTATACATTAAATTATTTAATACGCTAACTAATTTAATGGAATCGGCAGCAGAGGCAATCGATTCTCGATCTTAATATACACCTTCTTAATTTTTCAGTATAATAAAAAAATATCAGTGGCGTTACAACCTCTTTTAGGTCTTGGCTTCAGATTTCTGAATCTGTTTCATGATCATTGAAAAACACCTTTTGAACGGATTTGAGAAAGATTTTCTAATACTGAATTAAAAATTCAATTGTCATGAAATAATAAACGATTTTAGAGCGTTGGAATTAAAATTGTATTACGATGTATTAAATGCTGATTGTTAGTCTCGCTAAAACTCGAGAATGGGATGGATTGGCTAGTTATAATCTTGAAATGTCTGTGGACGTTCTGGGACGGTTTATCGGAGGGAAACATAAATAATAGGTAAAGAAAAATACTAAAAACGATTAATCTTCCAATAAAACAGTACCTATGGGAAATATTTGACGTGTTCTGTTTGGAAATGAAAAACTTCAAGTCACTTCGTTGTCATAGTATACATACAAACAAATAGGTCTACCTCGATAGAAATTCTAATTATTATATGTATTGCTCGCGTGAGTGGCGCTTTGTGCGCGTAAGTTTGTGATTTATAGCTGTAGTATGAGCTCCGATCTCCTAGGTATGTTTTAAAAACTTTGTGTTAAGTTTGTTCAGTAGGATCATTTTGTTTTTATAATATAACAAAGATGAAGTTGCTCTGGCTAAGATTTTTTTTTTTTTCTAGTAGGATCATTAGGGTGGAGCTTTGGAAAGGTAGATGACAGCTTATGTGAAACGTTGATAATTTTAACACAGGCCATCTTAGAATTGTATCAAATAATAAACAAATATTTTGCAATAAATTAAAATTGCGATATAATTTGAGATTTAAATATCCTATTCTCAAGTTGGATCAAATGCACATGGTGTTCAAATTTGATTGATATCGGTTCGGTAGTTAGGAGTCCATTGAGGACAAACATTGTGACACGAGATTTATATATATTAAGATTTGGAAATAAATATATAAAAAATATATCCCTTTCTAGTAAATGGGGAGAATAGAGACTCTCCTACAGCTTAGCTTCTAAGCCATGGATCTTTCTCGCGTGAATGGTATATGGGTCTTCAATAAAAAAAACATTTTTTTCATTTACATGTTCCTTTGTTCCCAGGAATATAATATATTATTTATAAATACGAAATTTTTATGCGGTAAAACACCAGTGGCGATATAACCCTTTATGTCTGGGCCTTAGATTTATGTATCTGTTTCGTGAGCATTTGTTTTTTCTAATAGGCAAGTAGGTGATCAGCCTTCTGTACCTGACATACTGCCGGTTTACTCACGATGTTTTCATTCATTAAACGAGTGTCTTATCGTACGAGTGAAAGCGCACATGAAGAGATAGTCCTTTGGTTCAGTCGGGGTTTGAGGCTATGACCTCAGGGATGAGAGTCGCTCGCTGAAGCCACTAGACCAACACTGCTCTGTCTGCTTTATTCGATAAAGTTTTATCATAAATGTCGTCATAAGCGCAATGTTATTATCATAGATGTTCCTAGTAGGCATATTTATTTGTTCTTAAAAAGAAAATTTAATGTTTAAATACAGTTTTGCTAAGGCCGCAAGCACAGCAGGAGGAAAAACTTTTAAGAGCTTAGTTCTCAAGTGTCGAATTCAGGAAAATGTCTTAGTATGCCGTATTTAAAAAAATCTTATTTTTGAAGTTATACTTCTTTAGGCGCGTTATGAAAAATTTATATTTATGAAAAATTTTAAAATCCCCCCCCCCCCCCGTGACACAAAATTAGGGGTGGATTATAGCGTGCGCGAGCGAGAAATAGGAATAAGACAACTAAAAAGAAATAGAATATGCGTGAAGTTCGTTGCCAACAATTTTGAATGACCATAATGACATTTGTCATTTACCTTTTAAACAAATAAAGGAGTTTTAATTATTTTTTCAAAGAAATTTAGCGATGCTTTTTGAATTATAATCAGAAGTGATTTAAATTGAATATTTAAACCAATACTAATTAATATTTGTGAAAAACTGTGCTCATCAACCTTCCTAAGTGCTTCAATACAATTGGGTTTACACTATGCATATGTTATTATTATTATTATCGAGTAATGTTTTGATTAAAAAATTAACCACATTGTTTAATCAAAACATGTAATTTTTCTGATTTTATCTAGCAAATATAAGGAAAAGAGACAAAAAACAATTGATGAATCAGTGTAACTGCACTAAATTGAATACAAAAAAGTTTTCATGGGGGAACTTTTTTAAATGCTCCCTTTTTTAAAATGAAATGTTTTTCGATTTTTTTGTTAGCTTTAGTAAAGATGTTTTTTAGTTATGTCTGTATTCGCTTTAAAATTCAAATTTATAATATTTAGAAATAAAGAAATCATTTTAATTTTTAAATGTTCGGAAGTAATTAAATATTGTACTTTTGACTGAATACACTAAATTGAATACAGTTGTTTAATTAAAAGTGATAATGATGATACAATTATTATCGAATAATATATTTTAGTTATTATATGTTAAGGTTAGTTATTTATTTATTAATAAGAACCCTCTAATTAAATTAATTCAGTTTGTTAGCATATATTATCTTATATGAAATGTTATTTTATTTATCAACGTAGTCACTACCGCTTACACTTTATAAATCTTTTTTGTGTAGCTGAAAATTCCAGCATATGAAAATCCTAAATACCCGTCACTATAAATCTCATATAAATTCAGACGAATTCAAATTGTGATTCATAAGTTCGTATTTAGATTTTGCTTAAACAGAATATTTTTACCTAAATAAAATCACATATATTTAAATAAAATAGCTAAAAAATACAATAAACGAAATAGTGACCAAAATACAAAAATAAACATGATTTAAAAGAAGGAAAGTTCTCTCTCATATATGCAAAACTATTAAAATTAATAATAATAATTAGATTCACAAAAAAGGCGCTATTAAACTCGTACGAGTATCACTTAAGTTACTAAATCGCCATTCACGAGTTTTTAATCTAAATAAAAAATCACTCACCTGAAAGTACAGAACAATTCTGCACATAGCAGTCCCAAAGAACCACGTCTCCGTCACATCCCACAGCACCGTTGGAGGTAGACAAATCAAAATCACCATAAAATCAGCCACCGCTAGATTCACTATGAAATAATTCGTCACAGTCCTCATTGAATGATTCCTGTACACTGCGATACAAACTAACGCGTTCCCTATTAAACCAATCACAAAGACTATTGCATTTGTCGCTATCAACACCCATTCATATGTTTGAGGGTATATATAATCGTAAATCATTCGAAAATATGCCTCTCTTGTCATATTGCAGTAGTCAGGTTCGCCAACACATACCTCTGAGCTATTGTATTCATAGTAAATGGTCGTGTCTTCTGTTTCATCCTCAGTACTTTCTACATTTGATTCCTCTGTTGTATTAACATCTCTCTTCCTTATATCATTGATAGCCTCTAATTTTCTTATTTTAAAACTATCCGATATCACCGTGTCTATGATTTTTTCACTTATCAAACTGTCTAGGTCTTTGATCGAAGTTTCGTTTAGATGAATGTTTGATGATGTAAAATTAATTAGGGCGAGTAATATTCCGAGGGATATTCTTGTGAGCGCCATTTTGGTCACATTTTTTGTTGTAAAGTTTTGGATCGTTTTAAACAAATTCCGTTTTGGAAGACACGGAGATCGCCATCTGCGGAAAGAAGAATTAAATTTAGAAAAAGTCCACAAGTTTCAGTTTTGAATGGATAAAACTTCGGTAATGAATGCTTTCAGAATCTGCTACATTTGTCAGCAATTTGCTTTGAGTTCAAACACAGTAAAGTCTAGCGAAGAGGAAAGTAAATCACCTTGTTTACTTTCAGTTAACACACGTGCTCAAAGTATTGAGTGTCTTTTATTTATTTACAGCTTGTGTGTGGCCAAATTTTAACTATAAAAAGTCATTTATAAGTTTGACAATTACTTATAAATGACTTGACTTCTTATTATGACATTTGAAAGCCTATTTAAATATGGCTGATTGTGCGGACTTTTCTTGTTGTTCGATTTTTTATTTTGTACCATTATCTTGGCAAATAAAGGATTTTACATTTTTTTTAAAACTATTATACAATTAAATGACTTTTTATAAAATTACCAGAATACCTTTTGATAACCATTAATCTTTTCTAAGTATATTTTTAAATCACAGTGTAAGAATTAATAATTTTTAAATCACAATAAACTTCACAAATATTTCGCTATTTGGCGAAGAGTCGAGAAAACTATTAAGCTGTAAGAGTAAGCGGTAAATGCTTGTTGACGCTGGATTGTGCAAGTCAAATAAACAGCAAGATGGACACATAACATTGTTTCATTATCTAATCTAATATATAAAATTCTTGTGTCACAATGTTCGTTCCCATACTCCTCCATAACGGCTCGACCGATTCTTATGAATTTTTAATGCATATTCAGTAAGTCTGAGAATCGGCTACTATCTATCTTTCAAACCCCTAAATGATAAGGTGTGTTCACCCCAAGTTATTTATTTTTTGTTTCATTTTTTTCGTTTTTATTGTTTTATGATACAGTATACAAAAATACATACAACCCCAAACTAAAAAAAAAATTCTAGGAAAAAATACATGGCAAAACAAACGTTTGCCGGGTCAGCTAGTTTATTTATATAATTCTTCTTGAAATTGTTACACAATACATGTAACTGGGCGATCACAGGCTTCTGAAATATAGTTATCATCGTTACCTGTTTTTGACAATAAATAAAATTACAATTACTATAATATTGTTTGTGTATGAAAACGCATACTTTGGTATACAATAAAGTAGAATTCTTTAAAGATATTATTGAAGCTTAGTATGTGTAGAAGTCTATTACGACATTAAAAATTTGTAGTTTTCCAACATTGTCCTCTACTATGATTGAATTTTCACGGCTCGTTGCGTAGGAATCATTTTCGTAAATTAATGTTAGGCGTTCATCAAGTCTCAACTCGGAATAAATTACGACAAAGCCATCGTTATAGTCAAATTGTTCACATAGGTCTTCGCTCAATCAAAATCTTATCTACTTGACTGACAATTGAACTTGAATAGCATTAATAATAAATAATATTATATTTCGTTGGTTTATGGTCAAATAATTAAACGCACCCTCGTACATATGGAATGTATAATGGAAATGTTTATCTTAAATAGTCCTACAAAAAGCCCGCCACAGTATATATCTATATCATATGTGTAAGCGATTACAGCCAAAATAGTGAACCACTACATTTCAAATGCACATTTGTTAGTAATAAATTAATTTCTAAATGAAAATAGATACTTTATCGCTTCTGATATTTAAAGTAGATAAAATATGTCTTTCTGCGCAGATGAAGTCGCGGGCACCAGCTAGTCTACAATAAATTAAATGGGCTGCTCGACAACTATACACAATAAAAAAAAAACTGTTAAAGTACTGGCTTCTGAACACACCTTACGAAGAGTTGGAGATGCTACTGAGACCTAACATGTACGTAGTTACACATTACACTCACTCATTCACTCACACCCACAAACTCACGCGTGTCACACATATGGAATGAAAAACATTAAGTTTGTTATGGAAGAGCTGGGAACCCTGACACAGGTTTTTACTGAAAACGGTTCCAAAATCTTACACATATTAATGCATAAATTAATCAGAGGTACCCATAGCTGCTTTTACTAAATTAATATTTATTAGATGTGGTGTTACCCTCGCATGCTTCGCATCTGGATCCAGAGAGTGACGATGAAACAGTCCTTCAACGAATAGTATCGACACGAAACTTAATGTAGACTGTTAAAATAGGGAACGCCGTATATTCAAGTTGTTCAAGGCCGGTAGTGAGTCTGATCCGTCAAACTTCAGACCTGTTTCCGTGCTCCCTGCGTTGAGCAAAGTTTTTGAAAAGATAATGCTAGACCAGCTTTCTTTACATTTTAATAAAAATAAACTCTTACATAATAAACAGTATGGTTTCACTAAGGGTCACTCCACAATCGATGCCGGTGTGAAGTTGATTTCGGACATATTTAACGCCTGGGAAGAATCATATGATGGAGTCGGCGTCTTTTGTGACCTGTCAAAGGCCTTTGACTGTGTTCATCCTGATATACTCGTTGGAAAGCTTCAACACTATGGCGTTGATGGCAAAGCTTCCAGCCTGATGAATTCATATTTAAAGGGAAGGATCCAAAGAGTTCATGTCAATGGAGTCACCTCTCCGGGTTCGCAGGTATCAATGGGCGTCCCCCAAGGATCGATTCTCGGGCCTTTCTTATTTCTGATTTACATAAATGACCTCCCATTCTTTGTCAACGAAGTTCATGAGATGGTATTGTTTGCTGATGACACTTCACTTCTATTTAAAGTGAATAGGAATAACGTATTATTGGACGATGTAAACAATTCTATCTCTCGTATAGTTAACTGGTTTAATGTAAATAACTTATTGCTTAATGAGAATAAAACAAAATGTATTAGATTTACAACTACTAGCGTAAAGCGAGATATTGGTAACCTGAAAATTAAGGACAGTGAACTAAACTTTGTTGACAAAACTGTTTTTCTAGGCATAACAATAGATAGTAAACTCCAATGGGGCCCACACATAGAGACTCTTTCGAATAGGCTGAGCTCTGCAGCATATGCAGTAAAGAAAATCCGACAGTTTACTGATGAGGACACGGCTAAAATTGTGTACCATAGCTACTTTCATAGCGTTATGTCGTACGGCATTTTACTGTGGGGTGCTGCTGCAGAGGTTCAATCCATATTTGTGCTGCAGAAGCGGGCTGTTCGGGGTATTTGTTGTGTTTCTCCGAGGGAGTCGGTACGGAATAAGTTTAAGGAATTAAATATTATGACACTATCTGGTCAATATATTCTTGAAGCCTTGTTGTATGTCCAAAAAATATAAACGATTTTAAAACAAATGGTGACTTTCACCAGTATAATACGCGAAATAGAACTAATTTGAGTGTACGACCAACCAGGCTCCAAAAGATAAACCACTCCTTATATGGAAATTGTATTCGTTTTTACAACAAGCTCCCAAGCGAAATTAGAGAATTATCACTAAATAAATTCAAAGCCCTCGTTAAACGAAAATTAATCAACAAAGCTTTTTATAAATTTGAGGACTACTTAAATGATCCTAATCCTTGGGATTGAATTGCTCCAGTTCAAACAATTTGTATGACAATACTTGGCGATTAAAAAGAGTGGCGGAAAGTTTCTTGCCAGTTCTTCTTACCCGCTCTACGCCCTTGACTTGCGAACTGGTAGTAAATGTAAATTTACGATTAATTTAACTTGACGATTCAAAAGTGTACTTGGTTACCTACTTGAATAAAGATATTTTGAGTTTTGAGTTTTATTATCTCGGCCACGTTTTATGTCATCATCGATACGACTTGTTGCAGCTTATAATGATTGGCAAAATTTAAGACAAGAGACGGGCTACTTGAAGGAAGAACTCGTGGTTGCGGAACGTACAGGAGTGGACCGGCATCACCATTCACCGAGGAACTCTTTTGACGAACGCAATTCAATATAAAGCGGCACCAGAAGAAGAAGAAGAATATTTATTAACGTGTTTTAAACATGGGCAGTGTTGGCCTAGTAGCTTCAGCGTCCGACTCTAATCCCTGAGGTCATAGGTTCAATACCCGGCTCTGCACCAATGGACTTTCTTTCTATGTGCGCATTTTGGTCAAACGGTGAAGAAAAATATCTTGAGGAAACCGGCTTGCCTAATCCCAAAAAGTCGACGGCGTGCGTCAGGCACAGGAGGCCGATCACCTACTTGTCTATTAGATTAACAGATGATCATGAAACAGATACAGAAATCTGAGTCCCAGACCTAAAAAGATCGAAATTAAACTACTGCACACGTTTATATATATTATAGTACTTTATCTTTATATATCACGGTTTTATAACGATGGATTTATTCATACAAATCTCACGAAGCTCAATCAATGGCCTTGAGGCCATAATTAACCATCGGTATCTAAAGTCACACATATTGGGGCTCTCGGCGTAAATTATTTACAATCTCTTAAAGTGGACACAGTTTTGTTTTCTTTTCATCACCAATTATAAGTTAAAAAGTAATATTTTATCAGATACGACATCAGCGCCTATTATTGATCTAGAGTTGTTCCAGTTCTCACAACAATTTTGTAAATATGGTCGGGACCGGGACGGGGTCTCAGACCAGGGCGAGCTTTTGATTGTACCCACATAAAAACACCTTCATATAGATAAAACCCTTTAAGTCTGGGCCTCAAATTTATGTGTCTGTTTAGTAATAATTTGTTTTTTCTAATTTCTAATAGGCCACAACTTTTATAAATAAATAAATTAGTATAATTATTTATCAATCTAATTAGCTACTAACAATATTGTTCCCTACGTGCGACTATCCTAAAAATTATTATTACAAACTCTTTCAGAATCATATATTATAAGAAGTATTAGGAATTCAATATTAGGTTTAGGTTTAAAGACTTTATTTCTCAAAAAAGACAAAATGTCACTTACATGAGAATAATACTCTAGATAACATAACATTGTAGTC